ACCCCATGGACTGTAGCACACAAGGCTTCCTCGTCCTTCACTATCTCCCAAAGTTTGCTCTAAACTCATGTCGATTGAGTCAGTGACATCATCCCGCCATCTCATCCTCTGTCGCCCCCTTCTCCTCCTGCCCTCAATCTTTCCCAGCATGAGGGTCTTTTCCACTGAGTCAGCTCTTTGCATCAGGTGGCCACAGTATTGGAGCTTCATCTTCAACATCAGTCCTTCCAATGAATAGTCAGGGTTGATTTCCTTTAGGATTGACTGGCTTGATATCCTTGCAGTCCAGGGAGATCAAAGCAGTCAATTTCTAGCTATGTAATCATTATTTCTAGCTATATAGTCAGCTAAAGTCCTCCTGATTGGACTTCCCTGGTGGTCCAGTGGTTAAAACTCTGTACTTCCAATATAGGGGGCACAGATTCGATCCCTGGCTGGGGGACTGATATCCCATGTGACACATGGTGTGGCCAAAAAAAAATTTTTTAAGTCCTTTTGATCTGTAGAGATTTTGGTATGCAGGAGGTTTATAATAGATATTTATGAGTCCAGTTTTTCATCCCCTTCCAGGACTGTTTGTTGTCACCTGTATCCTTCATTAAGCATAGTAGTGTGTTGGTGGACTTCAGAGGGGCAGAATGACTTGAGAGTAGTCTTAGCCTTAACAGAGTCCCATATTAATGTTTGAAACCATGGATCTCTAGGAGGGGACAGAGCTTTAGCTAATAGAACATTTGGCAAATGCATGCACTCATGTGGTGCATTTTATGTGCCATGTACTGTTCTGAGCATTACATATCTTTATAGCAAACCATGAATATAGTTACTTTTATTATTCTGTTACCTCAAATAAAAAATTTAGGTTCAGAAGAACTAATTTACCCAAAGTTACACAGCTCATAACTGGTACAAGCCTGATTTGAGTCTAGACAACTTAGTTCCAGAACATATGTTTTTATTCACTACACTGCATTGCTCACATAAGGAAATGGTTGAATTTCCCAAAAGAGCAGTTCTCCCAATTTCATATTGAACCTGCAATTGGATTATCCCTAGGAAGAATGAGCAGTCCCAGAAGTATGATGAGGTTTAATGACAGGTACTAAAACTTACAAGTTCTACAAATTCCCCCCCTCCCTGACCTTCTCCATTGTCTGGAACTCTAGCATTGGAGGCTTAGGTTTCTACTCAACTCTTAGTGGAGAACAATGGAAAGATTAAAATTAAACTGGTGTCAGGAGATGAACTCTTAAAGATGGACAGTACTGTTCTTTGAAAAATTACTTTCTCATTTCATAAGTCTCCTAGAAAATTGGACAGGGATGTTTTGAGAATAAAGGGAAAGCAGAGCCTTGGGAGAGATGTGAAGAACTAGCAGGGTCCTGCAGCTGAGTAACAACTATATGTTAAATATCTTTTGTGCAATGAAAGTATCAAAATTAGGGATGTCAGGATGCAAGTGGTGCTCAGAAAAACATTTGCACAGCTCTTTACAGTTAAAAGAAACTCACCTATCTGATCTATTGTAGCAGGTAACCATCATAATATCCTATGTAAATAAAAAAATAAAAACTTATGGAGACCAGTGGCTCTTAGCTGGGGGTGGATGTGTCCAGAGAATATTTGGGAGACATTTTTGATTGTCATGATTCGAGAGGACAGGCATAGCCAATGAAGTACAGGGGTCCCTGTGACAAAGACTTCTCCGGTCCAAAACATCAGTATTGCTGAGGTCGAGAAACCTTGTCTTGGAGCATAAGTATTTTGGTCAGGTCATATACCTAGCAAGTATCAGGGTCAAAGCTAGAATCCAGGTCATCTGATGACAAATCCTTTATTTTTTTCCTTATTTATATCCTTTGGCATTATACAGTATGCAGTGCGATGCAAGCGTTTTAGATCTGGAGAATTTAAAAAGTATAAATTATTAGTAGCCCTTTAGTGCTTCCCAGGCAGGGGGGAGCCTGGTGGGCTGCCGTCTATGGGGTCACACAGAGTTGGACATGACTGAAGCGACGCAGCAGCGGCAGTGCTTCGGAAGAGTCAGATCACCCCTCAGAGTGTTTAATACACCCTATGCCTATGGAGGAGAAGGCAGTGACAGAGGATGAGATGGTTGGAAGACATCACCAACTCAATGGACATGAGTTCACACTAACTCCAAGGAGATGGTGAAGAACGGGAAGCCTGGTGTGCGGCAGCCCATGGGGTGGCAAAGAGCTGAACACAGCTTAGAGGCTGAACAACAGCAAAGGCCTGTGTTACTTCATGGAAGATGAGTCCTCATCCAAAACACAAATGTCACCTTCTTTATTGAGTTCTCGCATGCCTGAATTTCACAATTTCCAGCCAGTTATTTTGTAAATGGGAACATGATTAATTCCTTTAATGCTATTTTTGTGATTATCAAGGTAATTAGGATTTAATCACCACTCTATTTTTGTGAGTATTTACATCTGCTCTTTGGCTAATAGGGTATCATGTGTTTTTTATTGAGCAAACTGTTATGTGTGTATCTATGGTGTAAGTGAACAAAGGGCCTTCTTGTCTGTATCCTGTACATTGATTTGGGATGACCCAGGTTATGTGTACACTGACTTCAGATTGTCTGCTGTGACAGTGGGGTGCACGAAGCAGGCTGATTTAATTACTATTTTAAGTGTATTAAGATAACTGTGTTCCATTTTCCCTATCTGTACCAATTATTAAATAACAGAACAATTTTAAAGATAAAAGAGAATTACTTTTTTTATTATCCCTAATAAATACCAAGGATCTCTCTGACCCTCTTACATAATTTTCGCTGCCATCCTATAAGACTGGTATTATGAGCTCTATTTTATAGATGAGGATGCTAAAACTTAAAAAGTTAAGCAAATTGCCTCGCATCACATAGCCAAAGCTGACAGATCTGGAATTTGAATAGCCATCCTCTGATGCCAGCATCCTTGGTAGAGTTCTCAAACCTTCACTCCATGTCCTCAGCCTGAATCTTAGAACCTGGAATGGGTCATCAAGAAGGTGGTCACCTCTCCATTCCTAAGCACCTTCATGAAAAATGTACCACATTTGCAACCCAGTGTAACTAAATCTTCTCATGATTTTAAAATGTTTAGCCAAAAGTTCTGTTAAATAAAGCTATGTTCATCCTAGTTCTTTTCTGAAGGACTCTGTTAAGGCTGGTACTAGTTCCAAGTGCTTTAACCATTCTGAATTCCAATAACATAGTATTGATTTTTCTCTTTGTTTTTTTTTTTTGCATTTTGTACACAAATGTTTGTTTCTCTGTTACATATTCTCTTCAAACACAAGCAATGAATTCTAAATCATCATAAAGATGAATGAAAAATGAAAGCCCTCCAGTATAGTGTCCATAATCACTGAGTACTTGGTTACTGCTGGTGTTTACTGTTTAACACCAGAAACAAATACAGCTTATTTGAAAATCATGCTACTGGACTTTTAGCTCTTCCTCTGTGACCAGTTCACTTGATCACTTAAGAGATGCTTACAGGGCATCTATTATATACTAGATCCAGGAGATTAGGTCCTAAAACGGAGTCCTTGCATTCAAGGAAGCTAATGTTCCATCTGATAGGAGAGTTAACAGGTAAAGAAAACTTCCAGATTGAATTGAATGGGAAGAAATAAAGTGGCTGCAGAAATGAGATTAACAGGAAAAGGGAAATCCATTTTAGAAATGTCAGCCAGGGAAAGTCTATAAGGAACAACTATCCACCAGTTGAGGTCCCGAGAGAGTGTGAAGGTGATAGCTGTGTCCTGATGTCGAGGCAGACAGAAGAGCAAATATTACAGAAAAGTCCTGAAGCAGGAAGGGGGTCAGATACTTTAGGAACTTGCAGGAGACCTGTGTGTCTAGACCTCACTGAAGGGTAGAAAGATTAAGATGAAATGAGAAGGGCGAAGTCAGGAGAAGGGCAAAGGCCAGATTCCTCAGGCCAGATAGGTTCTGGGAAAGAATTTGTTGAGTGCAAAGTGAAGCTGAAGAAGGATCTGTAAGCCTGAGGGGTGACGTAATCTGTATTTTAAAAGATCACCTGGCCACTGACTGAAGGATGCTTGAGAGGCAGGAGTAGAAATAGCCAGATCATTTAAGAGGCTGTTGTGGTAGCTTGGTTGAGAAAGCGGGAGCCAAGGAGATAGATAGGAGCGGGTAGATTTGAAAGATGCAGTAAATATTCAGCAGACATTTACCTTGAATAAGCCATCTGTGTACATTTCTTATTTCTCCAACTATCCTCTAAGCCAGGCTGTATGTCTTGTTCATCTGCATACCCTTCCCTTCTGCTATAATCATGTTGAAAACAGGCTTCCCTCCAGTCCCCCTGTTCCAGTTTTGTGTCTGTCAATGGAAGTGCTTCCTTCCCACCTGGTGGTAGATATTTGTCCCTAATTGCGGGCCCTGAGATGCGCCATCCACATTTGCTATTCTGCCAAAGTCATACCATGTTGTGGAATATTTTAATTTTTTTGAGTTCAGCTCTTGCATGTCATTAAAAATGCATTGTCTGACATATTTTGGGAAGAAATAAGCTTAATAATAACTCATTTAATTTAAGCCTCTAGAGAAGGAAGAAAACATTTTCAATGCAAATGCATAAACTGGCCCATCAAGGATTTTTCTTTCTTATTCTTCAGCAGTTTAATGATGAATGGTAATCTACAATAAGCTTTACTTTTGGATAATGTGGTTATAGCTGCCAAAGAGAGAGAATGGTTACATCCTGTCTCGTATTTCTAGCAGTTATCCCAACAGAATGTTGAAACCATATTAGCAATTAAAGTAATGTAATTAGTAAATAAATCACACATCCTAATTATATTTATCTGTATGTAGGTAAATATCATAAATAAAGATGAGGCTGTCAAGTGATGTAACCATGATTTAATAGTTTGAAAATGACAGGATGATAGAAATATTTTCCAGTTGGTCATATGGAGTAAACTTACCATTTGGGGTTTATCTGCTTTAATTTCAGAATTACCATTTCTGAAGATGGAAGCCTCAGAATCATCAATGTGACTAAATCAGATGCTGGAAGTTACACCTGCATAGCCACTAACCATTTTGGAACTGCGAGCAGTACTGGAAACCTTGTAGTGAAAGGTAATGACTAACCCAGGGAACACGTAGATTGATATATGTGTCGCCATTTCAAATAATGTAACCTGTTGAAGTGGCATCCTTCATATTAATATGTACAGATATCACTGTGTTGCTAAATTAATCCATCAAGGCAAACATGGTATGATTAACAATTCTTAGAGAACTGTCGGTCATGAATATGACAAAAAGGCTATCTTATTTTGGAATCATCCAATACAATTTTGAGAATCACTGCCATTGTATCTATTATAGTATTCTAACTAATGTTATCTTCAGTCCTTTAATTAAATTTCTTCAAGTCTCTATAGATTTGAAATTCATATCTAGGAATACCGTGCTAACAAATTAAAAACCCATGGCTCAAATACTATTTTTAGCTAACATTGTTTAAACAATGACATTGGAGATTTTTAAAAGAGCTGCCTTGGTTATTCAGAGGCGTGGATATGGATTATTGTACTCATAAAGGGCTTTGGCCACCTCTGCGCTTTGCTTAGTCACCCAGCCAACCCTGCCAGTTTTTAAGGAAATAAAATTTTCCACATTCCTTCTCCTGGGTGCTTTATAGTAGATGACAGAACACCAGTTTGATGGGATGTGCTGAAAGTACCAAGTAAGAATTGTGAAGATGAGGTTTTAATTTACATTTCATTTGCATTTCTGTCACCTTATATTTGGCTGCCAAGTCAAAGAATTTTTGAATTGAAGGGATCTTGGCCATGATCTGACTGAGGAAGATAAAGCTCAGGTTGGCGAGTTTCTCAAGGTCACCAATAGCAGATGTGAACCCTGCAATCCTGATTTTGCACTTTCTGGTTCTTTCTACTGTGCCAGGAAATCTTACTTATTTTTCTTGTTTCTCCATAATAGATATAGACAGTGTATTTATTATTTCCCCCTTGCCCATTTGTAACTCCCTCTGTGAAATAAGATAACCTAAGGCAAAGAAAAATATCCCAGAAAGAATATTTGCCTCTATTTTAACAAAGAGAGCTAAAAATTATCTAATTACATATTTTGGAATCATTAGAAATTTGAAAAGTACTGTCATTTAGGGAAGCCTTTTTATCATAAACATAATCTATGTAGATAGAAAACTGTAAGTCCAAGAGTCAGACAGAAATCTGTATTTATATTGACTCCAGCTATTTCAATCTATTAATTATTCACTCAGAGCAGTAGCATGGGTATGTGATTGACTGTGTGTTCACCCTGTTTTATAGGGCAAAGAAAAAAAGTTTAGATAATACTGGCATAGCAAAATTTCAGCTAGCATCTTCGCTCATGTATAGCTTTCTCAATTACAAAAGGAAAATTAGGGATGAACTAGAACCAGGAGGGGCCCCAAGGGTTCAGAATTGATTAATAACATAGCTAAGCCCTGATAGCTATGAAGTAAGATAGCCTAAGGCACACAAAAATATCCCAGAAAGAATGTTTGCCTCTTTTTTAATTTAATGAAGAAAGCTAAAAATTACCTAATTACATATTTTGGAATCATTAGAAGTTTGAAAAGTACTGCCATTTAGAGAAGCCTGTTTATCATAAACATACTTGTTTGTGCAGATAGAAAACTGTGTAAGTCCAAGAGTCAGACATAAGTCTGTATTTACCTAAGCACAGGTGCCATATATATGCTCTATATATTGTTAAAACTGGGGTTTTTTCACATAAGTTATGCCCTGCGTTCAGTTAGCATCCTTCCTATAAGCCTTGACTTCTTCAGCTCTCAAAATAGTTGGCAGAAGTTCCTCTCTTTCCCATCAGAGTTCTTCTTCCAGCAGTACCGCCAGTCCCCAGGTAAAACCATTCACAGGCGTGCAGAGACTTCCCTGCTGCTCCGCTTATACTGAATTGTGGTGCAAAGCTTAGCGATGCACCAATGATATGCTATGATCACCTCCTTATTTGGGTGGATATAAGTGTTGCTGCATAGTAACTTCTACCTATGTTAAGAAACTTAACACTTCATTTCTTGCCCTCCAGTTAACATGTTAAACAGTGATTTCCCCATGTATGGTATAAAAGATCATTTTAGACAATTCAGAGTTAATTTTTTTTGTTTACTTTTACTAACTATATATATCTTTCCACATGCATTAGGAAAATGTTAGTTTTTCATTAATGGCAATGATTTTTTAAAAACTCCTTTTAAAATATATTTGTATTTCTAAAGAAATATTGTTTGTATTGTTATAAAAGGATGTGCAGAAGGTTGTGAAGGTGGTACACAAAGATTGGAACGTGTGATTAATGCCAGTTTTCCATTTCCATTCCAAAGCATAAGAGTTTTAGTGGACCTGAAGAGAAAGGATATAAAGGGACATGTAACAGGGTCAGTACAGACCTGCCTGTGCTGGAGACATGTTATGCTGAGGCAGATGAGCACCGAGATCGTAATAGATGGGGAAGGAGGGAGGACAGGTCCAAAAGAACTCAGCGGCCTGTGGAAGGAGGCGAGCAGAGATCTGCAGGCAGGAAGTGTGCGGTCAGAGTAGTATGTTCCCCACCTGATTGTGGGCGAATTCGTTTGTTTCAAAGCAGAATTCTTTCCGGGCTTGGCAGTGGGTATTCAACTATAGTCACTTTCCTCAGAGAGGCTGTCTAATTTTTTGGTTTGTTTTGTTTTTTTAAGTATTGTTTATTTATTTTTGGCTGTACGGGATCTTCATGGCAGTGCAGGCTTTCTCTCACTGCAGCGAGTGGGGACTGTTCTTTTCCGCCGCACACTGGCGTCTCATTGCGGTGGCCTTTCTTGCCGTGGAGCACCGGCTCCAGGCACGTGAGCTCAGGAGGTGCAGCTGGAGAGGTCAGCAGTTGTGCCTCGTGGATTTAGTCGCTCCTAGGCATGTGGAATCTTCCCGGACCAGAGATCTAAGCCATGTCCCCCACATTGGCGGGAGGATCCTCAACCACTGTACCACCAGGGAAGTCCCCTCTGATTCTTCTTTTCTCCCAGGTGAGATGGGGAAAAAAAGAAAATGAGCTTTATTTGGTTAATATGCTCAGAGGAGTTAACCCTGTGGCTTGGGTAAGGTCAGATGTTTCAGAGTATATTTATTTCCTGTTGCTTGATTCTGAGTACCATTTACATTAATCGGAAGTATGTGCGCGAGCGCGTGTGTGTGTGTGTGTGCGCGCGCGCAGAGGGTCACCCAGACTGCCAGGTCGCCAAGAAGGACATTAACATAAACGGAGAAATACAATTTAGAAATCTGCCTCATAAAGCACGATAAAGGCAGAGAAAACGTTCTGAACTCCACATGAACTGTGCCAGGTCTTGAATCGCACATCAAAATGCTTGAGCCCTACACCTTTAATGTAAATGTAGCAAAATAGCCGGAAATGTGATGGAGCGCTGTATCTTAATTCAATTTAGAGATCCACAAAGGGACTAATTTATCAGAGAAGTTATGCTGTAACCTTAAAATGTGCTTATATTCGTTTTGATCTCCTCCAGTGTCTGGGATTAAAACACTATGAAGGTCAGGCATCAGACAACATCTTCTCTAACCTTTTTGCAATATTTTGTCATTAGCAATGACAAAATTTCTGTCATTAGCAATGCTTTTAAGATCCAATTCTCTTCCATCCCCCTACACCAGGTTTTTTGAGAGAAGCTGAAGATACTGTCAAACATAGGGACAGTAAGTAAAGCCGGCAGGGGAGAGGGGGAGAAGAGAATAGATCCACTACAGCAGGTACAGCAGGTTTAAAATAAATCTCTAGCAGACGACCACAAAATGGATAAATATTCAGATTATGCATGAGCGGGCTTCCAAACTGCAGAATTCTGACAGGTGCCCAGGGGGCTCTTGATTATCATCCCATCATCTGAATTTCTAAATTTGACTTTTTTTTTTTTTAGCTAGTTAGCATCTATTTGGAATTTTGATTCTCTGTATTATTTTAAGCAAGAACGGTTCTCAAGTCAGACCTCTGAATCTTAACAGAAAGCGTCATATTTGACCTTTCATGGAAGCTGTGCTTTAGCGATTGTGAACATCATTAAGAACTAGATGGAAGGCAGGCTACATTTCCATACAGTACTGTACTTACTAATTCATTTTTATCTCTAGAACAGAGTTAAAGACATGTCTTTTAACTCACATGCATGAGGCAGTGTCTTTATTGTACAGGCTTCCTATGACAGGTATTTTTAAGTAGCAATCCTCAAGAAGAGTGACTTCTCTTTGTCTTGGATATAGTTCAGCAAGATAACTATGGTAATAGCTACCCTAGATCTTATTGATCACCTCCCAGGCTCAAAATGAAATGCAGGGCTGTAAGCTGTGCTGTTATCTAGCTGAACTACATCCAAAGTGACCTTGAGTAACTAACTCTGTGGCTGGTGGTTCCAGAGCATACTTTGAGGAGCCCTGAAAGTGAAAGAAGTTGAAAGTGTTAGTCACTTAGTCATGTCCAACTCTTTGTGACTCCATAGATTGTAGCCGCCATGCTCCTCTGTTTGTGGAGTTCTCAGGCAAGCTGCTGGAGTGAGTTGCCTTTCCCTTCACCGGGGATGTTCCCAATCCAGGGATTGAAACCAGGTCTCCTGCATTGCAGGCAGATTCTTTACCATCTAATGCTCTATCCTACATCAAAGAACTTTGAACATGCTACCAACTAAGTGAAAGGTCAGTGGAATGCTTAATAGAAATGCATATCCCTACTGCCCCACCCCTAACCTAACAAATCTAAATCTTTGCGGATGAGATGTGAAAACCGTGCATTTTTAATAAACACCCCACTTGATCCTCATACACACCAGAGTCTGAAAAAGACTGAATTTTCAGTCACTGGCAAACTATGGCCTATGGGCCAAATTCAGCTAGCCATCTATTTTTGTGTAACCCAGTAGCTAAGAATGGCTTCCATGTGTTTTGCTGGTTGAAAAGAAATCAAAAGAATAATAATAGTTTCAGATATGTGGAAATTTTTATGAAGTGTGCATAAATCAGATTTTAGTGAGATATAGCCATGTCATTTGTTTACATTAT